CCAACTGAGCCACCCAGGCGCCCCTATCTTTCATATCTAATTGTCTTATTTGTTTTGATTACTGAGTGATTTTAATTTATGTGATTGAAACCAGGCTAACGAAGCAGGAAAAAAAATAATTGACCGTAGAGAAAGGAATGTTGAGTATTGAACTTATGGAAAATCTGGAATGTGGTGGTTTTCTTACTAGGTTTGAGCCATCTGCCTTTCAAATGGTGATGGTTTCCAGTAATGGAAAATGTCTTTGTTAGGGCACCCCTATTTACAGAACAAATCTGGATTCCCCAGGAGTCGTGAGTTTGTCATAACTGAGAAGAGTAAATGTTTTTGTAAAGCTATGACCCATGGACAGCTCCAGGACACACACTGGAAGGCTGAATTCCTAGTGGCAGGCGGCCGAATGCTTTCAGCCTTGGAGATAATAAAGCGGCTCCATCTGTAGTGAACTGGAAGTAGTGAGAGGAACTGAGAGAGAAACAACACACTGCTTGGTTTTTCGATGTCCTAGGTTCGTTCCCATGAACCATTTTATTGCAATGTGAGTAGCTACCCACAGAATGAAGATGCATAAGGAAAGTGAGTTTTGATGAGGGACTGGATTTGAAAAGGGTTTATCCCGACAGAATGGGAAGGACTATATTTTTATAGTTTTTAAGGTGTTTTTAAGATGCTGATGTTTTTAAGAGCTGCTTACTTTTCTTGTAGTCTCCTGGAAGCATTGACCTCTGGAAAAGGGTGCCATGACTTAGCTCTAGCCCTCAACCATGCACCTCTACCCCAACTACTTTCTGAGATAGAAAAAAAAATCACGCCACTCTGTGAACTGGGATCAGCTGTTACCAATGGCCACGTTGCCCATGTAGCTTCTGGTTTTAAATTTCCTTTGGGAAAGAGAGTTCAAGTTTGCATTTATTTATTTATTTATCTACTTATTTTACTTATTTCTTTTAGTTCTCGGTGATTTTGGTTCAGCAACAAAGCATGTTATTACAGCAGAAGAAAAAAGTACTGGTTTCATTGGCTGCAAGGTACCGGACAGTAACCCCAAGGCTGAGGTGCGCTATAAAATCCGGGGAAAGTGGCTGAAACATTCCACAGGTGAGACTTTCTACAAAAAAAAAAAAAACCAGTGACACCCACAGAACAAATGTCCTTCACCTACTTTTGAGCTCTGTATGCTAGTGACTGTGGATACCAAAAAAATGTGTAAGTCTCGGAAGTCAAGTGGAGACAAGCACAAACGGCTACATTGTAGATGTGATTACAACCCCACATTCCCTCCTTCATTCCGGTCTCCACTCCGATGTTTTTTCTTCTGAGAAGACCTCCCTCACGGCCCCATCTAAAATAATACGTCCTGTTGCTCTCTGTCCCCTTTACTTGGCCTTTTTTTTTTTTTTTAATTTTCATAGCATGGTGTTATACATGTTTTTGTTTGCTTGTATCTTATTTACCCCTCCCTCTGCCACCCCCATTTCTCGCGCTGGAATGCTGGCTGCATGAGTGCGGGGCTTTTGTCTGCTTTCTTGATCAGTGTAGCCCCTGTGGCCGGGCCCTCGCTGGCAGGATTTGTTGAGAAAAAAAATGAATAGATAGACATAAATGGACACTGGGGGGTCAGTGCTGTAGGTGGAAGTTTGCTCAAGATGGTAGCTACGGTCATTGTATCTTTTTTTAATATGCTTGTGCTTTCAGCCTTCTCAACAAATGATCTGTTGTCAGATGTTTCTGCTGGGTTTGATTTTTGTTCCTCTAGTATTGTTGACTTTTTTTTTTTCCCCTGCCTCGACTTTCCCTTTCTTTCATTTAATACATTTTCCTTGATTGCTTCTTTGCGGCTATTCTTACATCTAAATTTAAAGCACAGCTATCAACCTTCATTTGTTTTACTTGGCGTCCTTCTTATGGAGGCCTAACTGCATTCTCTTCTTTCCTCAGAGAATTACTTAATCCTTCCATCAGGGAATCTTCAGATTTTGAATGTATCTTTAGAGGACAAGGGATCATATAAATGTGCAGCTTTTAATCCTGTCACACGTGAATTAAAAGTTGAACCCATTGGCCGAAAGCTTCTTGTGAGTCGTAAGTATTTGGGAGAATAATGGTAACTAGGAAGAGTCCTCAGAAGCATTCCTTATAAAACATTGGGAAAGCAAAGTTCATTTTTCTTTCAGATCCTGTTTGCTTACCCTAAGAGAGTCTTATGAAAAATTAAATACATAAATGCATCATAGAATGGTATTGTACGTGTTTTTAAAAGATAATGAATTTTTAGAAGAGAATTTTGGTCAAGATTGACAGAGTGGAAAGCATATGGAGAACTTGACCCATTGCTCAAATAAGAAGAAATTATAGAGAAAATATAACTTTATATCCCTGGTAATCAAATTGGTGGCTAACTGTAAATTATGAAAAAATATATATCTTTTCTCTTGCAGATTATGGTAGCTGAACTGAGATAGAACCAATAGTCAAAGCACAACAAAATAGTGGTTTCTGGACTTGTCAAAAATTCGACATTTCTCAACTGCTAATTCAGAAATAGCTCTCAAGGGTCACAAAGTGTTTTAATTTTAATTCTCAACTAAAAAATTATTTAGCTAACAAGTAGGGCCGTGTAGTGTAAAGAAGAATAAATGGGAAGATGGGAAGACTCACAGGTTTGCTAAGGAAGAGACTGGAAGTGAATATTTAATAAAAATTTTTTGTTTTCTTTCCCCAGGCCCTTCTTCAGAGGATTTTCGTATTCTTCACCCCACCCTGTCACAGGCATTAGCTGTCCTTTCTCATAGCCCTGTCACCCTGGAGTGTGTGGTGAGTGGGGTCCCAGCTTCTCAAGTGCACTGGCTGAAGGATGGTCAGGACGCTCTGCAGGGAAGCAACTGGAGAAGGTTGTATTCTCATCTTGCCACAGATAGCATTGACCCAACGGACTCAGGAAACTATTCTTGTATAGTGGGAAACAAGTCTGGAGACATACAACGTGTGACTTACATGGTTAATGTACTTGGTAAGATGTTACTTACTAAATTGTTTTTCAAGTCAGGCTAATTTTCTGGTCTAACTGATGCTAGAATAGAAGATCTATTTGGGAACTACAAAAGAAACAGGGACTGGCTAAAAACACCTGTACCAGCAGTCAGAACAAGCTTCATTTTTTTTAAAGGCCGCTGAATTTGGCAGTATTTCTTGGTGGCATACAACATTTCACCTGGGATGCTCGTGAGAACCTCACTCCCAACCTGGTTATGTCATGCAGAGCTTGTTCTTCCTTCCTAATGACTTGGAGGAAAGAGACGGGAATTCAGTAGGATGGGAAGATTCTGGGCTGTATCAGTGTGTACAACCCAGTAGTAGTAACTAAGAGTACTGACTAAAAAATGTCATCTCAAAAAGATACCTGTTTCGGGGCACCTGGGTGGCTCAGTTGGTTAAGCGTCTGCCTTCGGCTCAGTTCATGACCCCAGGGTCCCAGGATCGAGCCCCGCATTAGGCTCCTTGCTCAGCAGAGAGCCTGCTTCTCCCTCTCCCTCTGCCCCTCCCCCTGCTTGTGCTTTCTCTCTCTCTCTGTCAAGTGGATAAATAAAATTAAAAAAAAAAAAATCTATCATTTTATTTTCCCTTTTGGAATGCTTTCACTGTATCTGGCTCATAAAATTTGCATTATTTCTACCCACATTCTAAATATACAGTCTTGGGGCACCTGGGTGGCTCAGTCGTTAAGCGTCTGCCTTCGGCTCGGGTCATGATCCCAGAGCCCTGGGATCGAGTCCCACATCGGGCTCCCTGCTCCGTGGGAAGCCTGCTTCTCCCTCTCCCGCTCCCCTGCTTGTGTTCCCTCTCTGGCTGTCTTTCTCTCTGTCAAATAAATAAAACCTTAAATAAATAAATAAATAAATAGTCTTTATCTCAAAGCTTCTCCTTTCTTCCTTCTAGCTACCTACATCACTATCATGTCTAGCAGCAGAAAATGTTTTCCTTTATCAAAACAGATTTTCATGAAAGCCAGAAAAAGTAGGTAGTAAGTGGTTGCATAGTAAAGATAGTTTTCGTAAACTTCTGTGTGTGTTTATTTGCAACAATGGCCTGACACAGGTAACACGGGAAGGAAGGAAGGGTATGGCAGGTGAGCTTTAAAGTGCAGTGATAGGGCGCCTGGGTGGCTCAGTTGGTTAAGCGACTGCCTT